TAAAAAATTCAGTGTGTTGCATTTGAAATAACGAAGTTTTTATATAAAATGTATCCTTAAAATAGATCAGCAATTTTTGGTACCCCTGTATAAATTTAAGGGAAAAATATAATTTTTCAGTAAAGTTTATTTTTCTACCTTTAAACTCAGCACAAGAATTAATTCTGAAAAGTAATGTACAGGGTGTTAATAATCTATTCTATTGTAGCATGCATATTTAACTATCTTTAAATATCTCAAAAACCAAAAAATTTAAACATACTTAAACCTCATAAAAAATATATTTTTTGTGCCCAAGAATCCAAAAATGAAATAAAATACCGGGTGTTCCATAAGAAAAAATATAACTTTGGTATGGATAATAGTTCTGAAACACCCTGTATATTTCAAAATAATTTTAAATTGTGCATATTGCCTCCCCACATATAACCATAAAATATTTTGTTTCTACATCTATCCGTTTTCCTATAATCAACCGAGGCGAATGAGGTGCGCCACCCTGTATAGAGGTAAATTGTGTCCAATGAACTTATTTTGATTTCAAAAATACGTAGTAGTTCCACAGAACAGATACAAGATTTGTATCTGTTCTGTGGTAGTTCTATGTCTACGGAATATTGAGACATCCTGTATAAACAGTTATTATTTACATAAAAAAAACTCACGCCCTTTACAGTACTTAAGGGACATAAAGGGTTATTACTACCGTTTTCCCGTTCAAAACATTTTAATAAGGTTGCGTTGAGTTTTTTTGCAGCGGCTATTAAGCTATCTTGTACACTTCGCACTAAAAGAGTCGTCAATATGTGTCAAATAACAATTTTCGCCTGCAAGGTCTACTAGTAAAAAAATTTAAGCCTAAAGTATCACAATAACACAATTCATTTAAACCAAAAACTAATACAAAACTAAAGTATCAAAAAGAATGGCAATGTCAGGAAATAAATAAATAAATGTGGCAACTTCACATTTTTTACGTATTATCTAAGTCCCCAGCGGGAAATTTAAATTCTAGTTAGTCAGCCCGGCACCGAATATGTCCATGGTTGACAATAATGAATTTAAAAATCGCGCCCTCGATTACGTGACTAAAAGTTTAATTGGTATCGCTAATATATGTATATTATAGATTATAGTACAATAAGTTCGATGTTGAAGTGTGACCAATATAGTAGGTATTTTTTATCAAGCACAATAAAGAAGTAACTGCAGAAAATTTTACACAGTAGAACATAGTCTAGCACATTACATAAAGGTCATTTTATAATGTCAATTTGTAAATCGTTTCTTGAGGACTTTGCGTATTGTTAGTTGTATAACATTGCATTAATGGAGATATTCGTGTACTGACCTAAAGATTTGATAGAATCCTCCTTGGGGTTCAATCCAGCGAAAGAGTAGATAATGTGAGTACACAAAGTAGGATCTAGGTTCTCTATAGCGAATGAACCACGACCTGGTCTGTAAACTGACCATGTACCCACGTAGCACACCACCACTTTACCATGTTTAGGTTCTGGAATATCAGTAAATACCAATTTGTATAAATAAGCGTTTATTCTTTTGTGGATAAATGTTTTTTTCCAAATGACCGTTTAAAATTTGAATTATAAGCATAGTTAATTGACGATTTTAGGTCAACCACCTATTTATTTTGATAATCTCGCAAACTATTATTAATTGCTAATTTGATTTGAATGAAAGCGTTAAAATCAAATTTCACACCAATATTAATAAAAATGTCAACTTTTAAACAAACATATTTTTGCGTTAAAAATTATCCGTAAAATTATTTGATTTTAAAAAGATTTAGCGAAAGTAATATAACAAATAATATTGTCAAAAACAATTTTCAAAATCGCTTACTAATAAATTCTACGGTGAGTTCTGTTTGTTGTAAAAGAAAGTTGTAAAGAATATAAACACATTTATTTAAAATGTTACTTTAACATTTTTCTATGTGGGTTTTTTCTTTGACAAAAAACATATTATCTGAAAGATCACCTTGTATATTAGAAAGTCATTAAAAATTAGGGTGTTATATACTATTACAGAAAGTGAAAAATTAATCTTTTGTTGTCATACCTGTGCTCTGCATTGTTCCATATTTTACCCCGAACATGGTACATAAGCAAAGTATTATTTTCCACTGCAGTACCATACTCAAAGTTCGGTACTTGCATAAATAAATAAATACAAACCAGGCCTTTGTCTCTCACGAACAAGGTACCATTAGATTAAATATTCCAGTGCATTAAAATACCGCAACAACAACACTTTGCAGAACTTCTATCTGTCTCTCTTGGTTTCGTTTCTATGCAGTACCGACGGTATAGAAAGAGTACCGCAAACTAGCAAGGACCAGAAGAACTCTGCCCTGGTTGAGTTCGAGGTCTTCGTATAAACCTTTCACTGTATCATATTGTTTTCGAGTTTGATGTTGATGGTGGTGGTACAAACGATGGTACGAATTATACTTCGATACAGAAGATTGTCAAAGACGAATATTTTTTGCGAAATTTCTCCAAACCACTTGTTCAGCTCCAGATTTTTTATATTATATAAACCGATTTCCTTTAATTATTTTGGCTGATTATTTTTATTGGTTTTATTTTTATTATGGAAATTATTTGATTTATATTTATTTTTTGCGGTTTCCGATTATTATTGGGGTTTGGTAGTCATTGTTTTCAAACTGTTTAAAACCAAGGTTTTAAATGTTATAAACGTAACTAGGTATGTTTGAATCAGATCGATATACAAAATATCGGTATTAAATCATTGCAGGAAAGTGTCCCACATGTGTCTCAGGCTGAGCGTGCATTAGAAGTTTCTAGAGAACTACATAGATAGAGAATCGGAGATTTTTTGAACATCATTGTTTCAGAACGAGATCTATCGATTAAAAATATTTTCAATATGGCGGCACTTCCGGAAATACCGGAAGTTGACAGCAACTTTCTTATTTTAAATGAGTATCCCAATTTTTTATTACACACTTTCTGTAAAATTTTATGAATTTTTACATTAACACTCGATACGAGAAAAAAAATATTTAAAATTTTTGGACGAAAAAACTGCCTGTCAAAAAATGTCTATATAGCCTAAACCAGAGCCTGAATTAAATAAGCCGTTAAATTTAGTGATTACCACAACCACTGCCACATAAAGAGAAGACATATGTGGCTATCTATTTCAAAAAATAAATTGTTCGAATGTCATAGAATAATCGCCGCAGCTGTCGCGGAATTTAGCGATTAAAAATTTATAAAATATATTTTTTTTCAAATGGAAACCTACTTTTTTATTTCATTAGTGAAAAGGTTTTCCAATTCGTTACTTTCTGCCCATATGTTCCTATACCTAAAATAAATCGTGTTTAAGTTATATTTAAGATTTAGTTTTAAAGGGTATATTTTTCTTGATTTTAACCAGTAGCCTATGACTTTAAACGTCAAGTGATTTGAAACAATAGATCTGACCATGTCATATTGTGACACTTTGTTCAAAAAGCAGTATGCCATCGATCATCATTTTCAAGCCAACTTGGCGCAGTTTTTTTCGATCATACGGTATATTATTAATAATATCAATTATTAGATATCACTAAACAACGAAAATACGAGATATATTTTTATAAATACACTTTTTAACTAACCTAACCTAACTCTTAAGCAGGCAGTATTTATAAGGCGCGTTCGGTATTCACGTCCGACCGCTCGGATCGATCTCGATCGTTCGTTTATGACGTCCAGATGTAGGGGAAGTAAATCTCAACCGTTCGGTAAATAAAATCGGAGCAATCGGACGGTGATCTATTTGCTCGGAGAATTTTGGCGGAGCAAACAGATTAATTTGTTAGTGAGGTTAAATTTCCAAGTTGATGTCAAGTTTTAAATTGTTTATTTTGTTGCTTAATGCAAAACCACGTACAAAACTCAAAAAATAAATTACTGGTCCTTTTGTCTTTGAACGTTGATAGATTTCAATTGGGAATTGGGATTTCAAACTTGTCACTTTTCCCTAAGTGATCCGAACATTCCAAACCGTTCGGTAATTTCAGGTTACTCCATCCAACCTGTGATCACGTGACAAAAAATCCGTCGACATCTGGATGTGATTACCGAACTTGGTTATAATATAGAAAATTCAAATAATTAGTTTTCTGACAGATGGAAATAAATTGTCTGATTGTTTGACGCTTAATGTCAAAGGAAGCTAGATAAAATCAAGAAAAGTATACGTTTTAAAACTTAATCTTAAATAACTTAAAAACACAACTTAAAAACGATTTATTTTATGTATAGGAACATGTATAGTCAAAAACTAACGAATTGAAAAACATTTTCACTAGTGAAATAGAAAAAGTGGGTTTCCATTTGAAAAAAAATATTTATGATCATTTTTTAATCGCTCATCAGTTCTATGACAGCTATCGCCATTATATATGACATTCGAACAATTCAATTTTTGAAATTGATAGCCACATGTCTGCCCTTTATGTCACAGTGACTGTGGTAATCACTATATTTGACTTTTAGGCTATACAAATTTTTTTGACAGATAGTTTTTTTCGTCTAAACATTTTAAATATTTTTTTTTCTCAAAAACGGTTAATGTTAGGTATAGAGTGTTTAACATCAATATTCAAAGAACTTTACAGAGAGTTAAAGTATGTAGTAAAAAATGGGGGCACCCATTTAAAATAAGAAAGTTGCTGTTAGCTTCCGGTATTTCCGGAAGTGCCGCCATATTGAAAATATTTTTAATCGATAGATCTCATTGTAAAACAATGATGTGCAAAAAATCTCTGATCTAGATATTGTCTAGAGACTTCTAATGCGCGCTCAGCCTGGGACACCATGTATATTGACAATAATTACGAAGACAACAAGTGTCTGAATCAACTCTCTAGATAAAAAAGAATAAATGAAATGCTTAAATAATTCAGTCTTTATTTATTTTGGTTCGTCTGAGAGTATATTTGAAGTTTTCGATGGCTATGCCTATTTTCATAATTACAATTGAGAAACAATAGTTGAATAATATAAAGAAGATCCTTTCTGGCCAGGTGAACACATGAAATAATCCGTAGATCCATCTTCCGTAAGTAAAATATGTAACGAAGAATCTGCAAATATAAATTTACGCATTATTATACCGCATGTTTGAAAAAAACCGGCGTCCAGTTGATATTCACCATATAAGACTGTATGGTCGAAAAAAACGACGTCCAGTTGGCTGGGAAATGACGATATATGACATTTCCCATATAAAATGACAGCGATCTTCATTTCATAGCCATCGCTGACGCCGTTTTTTTTCAGTCATATGGTATAACTTTACATACAAAATGACAGCGATCTCCAGTTCCAAGTCATCTCTGACGCCATTATTTTTTTGATCGTTTGGTATTTTTCTATAACATAACGTCAGTAAAGCTTACATGAGATCATATATTATTGTTAATACTGTAAGGGCTGTAAATGCTGATTTGAAGCTTGGAAGAAGTTGATTGGTTATCAGTACTTCTATGATAAGAAACACGGTTACATTGGTGTGTACCGAGTGGTTCAACCATTCAGGAACATATTCATCACAAACTTCAGGAAGAACCTACAAACAAGTATTAAATACATATATTCTAAATCTAAGAAAGCAAAATTACTCATTACCCATTCTCTGTTGATCGAGTATACACTCCAAAATAAGGCAGAGACGAAAACTGAGCACGGGAACACAAAACTGGTAAATAGAAACCCTTTCCAACGGTCCAGTTTTCCTTTTTTTAACTCAGATTTGAGTCCGAAAATGTTCAGAATATCGTACCATACGGCCATTGAAAAGTAAATTGTTTGAATAACCTGGAAGAATACAAACATCTAAAAACTTTTTATTTGCTACACTAAATATCGTTGAGATAGAATAACAAAAAAGTGTAGGTAATTGTGTAGTATTTCTTTTTTTTTAATATTTAAATATTATAAATTACAATTAAAACATATTTATTTTGAGATTGGATCTTTTACATACATTAAATTGAACCAAGAAAAATAAATATCTGAACAATGCTTATATAAATACGTAAATCAATTACCAAATTCCAGTTTGTGAAAAACACGGCGCCGAAATTCTTCATATCCAAAATTCTCTGGTCAGTTTTATCAATGTCCATCTGAAGGAGAGTTTTGTGGATCTCATGAGAGTGTCTGAAAGTTACCAAATGGTGGGCCACAAAACCCACATGAAATATAGGACCTAGTACAGACCGTATTTGTCTCATAATCGTTCAAAAAAATCACAAAACCGAAAAAAACGTTTTTAATAGATGCTCTTTTACTTAAATTAATTTTGTTCACACTGATTTTTTATTACTGTGTAAGATTCTTTAAATAATCGATTTGCCTTCTAAAAACCTTATCGCATCCAACAGATTTTTGATTGTAGAGTCCCAAAAAAATAATTAAGGAAACTGTCTTGATAAATTCGTCAGGATATTATTTATAGTCCGACAACTAGTACAAAAAATATGTACTACTGACTATACTGATTGATATTGCATTAAGTTTCTTGAGTTTTTTTGGAAATGCAGAAAACAAATCTTTAACTTTAAATTTCATAAAAAACTTGAATTTTGATATCAAACATTCCGTACCCAAAATTTACGAAATTGAATCTTGGGAAAAAAATATTTTTTTTTTGGTCTCGAAACGGTCTGTCAGAGAAAAGTCATATATATATTTATTATTCTCTGTCTGACACTTTAAAATCCTATACACAGTAATCAAATGACCAGGTCAGTATATGGTAAACGTCAAAGTTAGTGATCGAAAAATTGCCAGATTCTTTAGTTTCCAGTATATCTCTCTTATCTTTGTCAAAAGGCGATCGATTTCAAAAATATTTTTTTAATATAAATTATCTCTAAAATCCCTTTCAAAAAGTTGTCTAGTAGTGAATTTACCTGCACCTGAATTTAGTAGCAATTAAGAAAAAGTTCTATAAGACTTACTTGTTTGACTGTCGGGAAATATTTTTATTCTATTTTTATTTGTAGATATTGATTTTTTTAAAATTTAGGTCTCTTAAGCCGGTCCCAGACACTGTATGATCGAGAAAAAACGACGTCGACGATGGCTATGAAATGAAGATCGCTGTCATTTTATATGTAAATTTTTATGGGAAATGTCATTGATCGTCATTTCCCAGCCAACTGGATGCCGTTTTTTTCGATCATACGGTAATTCCCGTAGTAGAGCAACGTCTTGATTTTCAGTGCTGTTGCAGTTCAAAATGGACAGCGAAGAAGAGCAGATAGCTATTGTCGCTCCTAGATGTGTAATTTTCAGCAGTGTTTATTATTACGAAATAGGAAAAAAGAACGTAAAAGAAGATTGTTCACTCTCGAATAATTGCAAAAAGTTCAAAGTTAACTCGTTTGTCCATTCCATTTTGGAGTAATAAAAAAATGGAAATCAACCCGCCACCAATGCAATACACAAGTGAACTGAGGGGATCGCGCAAAAAAACACGTAAACAAATAGCCCTAGCGTCTGTCTGGGAGTAATTCTGAAGTTGACTACGCCGCACTACGAGCTCCTTTGATTCGTGCCAGTTACCGATAACCATATACGTATTACTTTTTACAAAAGTAAAACTTTTTGTAAAAAGTAATACGTATATGCCGATAACCGCCGCGAAAATGACAAAGTACGAATCTTCGTCAAAGGTAACTTCCCACACGCTACTCGAATATCGAATATTCGCCAAATGCACGTAGTGTCTAGGACCGGCTTTAAACTAATGAACGTATTTGTAATATATTTTGTGCTATCTTGTTTTTTATTGTTTTTTGACAAAGGTTCGTATATTTTGTATTTGTTTTATGTTTATTATTTGGCGCAGCTTTGTAAACAAGAGAAATCTTATAACAATAAAGCAATCATTGATTGATTGATTGACTTTTCATTTTAAATAAAAACCAAAAAACTCTCTTTATTTTTTCTTATTAAAGGGTTTTTATAATTAAAGTATATCGTCTATGATTTCATGACATCTATATAGTGCATCTTGATATCTAGGAACCTTATAATGCAAGCTGATTTTGGGACACTGTGTAATAAATGTAATCATTAAATGTCTGGCATTGTATCAGATCCGGGTTAAATGTTATCGGATTTCTTTAGTTTTGTTTATTTATTATTATTTGTTTTTTTTTCTTCTATAATTTACCTACTTTGACAAAGTATTTAGGTTATAGGTACGTATACATATAAAATTTTTGTTGAGCCCCCTTATCTGTATCTAGTTGCGCTCCTGATTTTATACCTATTTAAATTAGTTTCCATTAAATATTTTTTGAGAGCTTTGGCATTTCCAAATTTAAATTACATATATTTATAAACTGTTTTAGATTGTTTTTTTGCTAAAAAAACAATCTAAAATGTCAGTATTCCATATGAGTATATTGATAAATGAGGTCTAAGTTACAGGGAAATTCATTTTCAACAAAAACTTGAAGAGATAGGTAGAAAATAGTGTAATACAATTTGATAGACAATTAAATTGTGCATCATCTCTGATTCTCCTAAAATATACAGGGAGTTCCATTTAAATTAAACAAGTTATTGCCGTTTAAAGCTAGAAATGATTTGAAATAAATTTTAGACACTCTGTATGAGGCAGTATTATTTTTATTATTGCAACACAATAACTGATCAATAAATAAACTTCAGTAAATATTTAGTATTAAAAACTTTGATACCCCTGGAGAAACGAAGCCTTAAAATTTTTACTGCAACTTCACAAAATGGAAAATATATATTTCAAAAACGGTATGGTTTAAGTATGATAAACCTTAATCAAATTTACCTTAATTTTAATCGTTATAAATTATAAAAAAATTAAAAAATAAAACTTTGATATTTTTTATTTATTTGGGACACTCTGTATCTTGTAAACATATTTTTAAATTGTAGCTCTAATAGTCCTTCAACTAGCCCAAAACTTACAATTTGTAAACATCTAATTGTTTAGCTACAATACTCCGTGTCGTATGTGGTGAACAATCCTGTATAATATAATAACTATAATTATAGTAGGGTCAATAAATATTTTTGTTCCAAGCGGTCAAATAATTCGTGAATTAAAAAATGAACATTTTTTGCATTTAGAGTTTTTCAACATTTTTAACGGTTTCGCAGATATTGGCAGTTTCATATTTCATATGGCATTTTCTACAGTAAATTTTTATTAAAACCACCCGCTGATTTTTATATTACTGCGTGTATCTGCTAAACCATTAAACATTTTGAAATAATTTAAAAACAAAAAATGTTCATTTTTTAACTATCCATCTAATAATAAAAAATAATATACAGGGTGTTCGTTAAAAAAAAACAAAGAAGAATTATTTTATATTTTAGAAAGATTGGCGTAGAATTTTAAAACACCTTATATGATTTAAGATTACGATATTTATAGTAAAGTAAGTATAGACCCCAGGATTGCTGGCTTCGTCCAGAATAGCCGCGGAGGTAGCCAACAGCAACCCGCCGCAATACCCTTAGCCGTGGTACCAATATGAATAACAAATAAATAGTGAGGGAAATGTATAAAAAAGAAGAAAAAGATTAAACGGCTCAGCCCTCAACCGAAAATATCGATTAAAATCGATCGATTTTTAACAAACGATCTTTTGGTAGAATCGATTTTTTTTCAACATCGAAGATCGATTTTATTTATACATTTTTACAGGTTTATTTATTTGTTAGAATAAAAAAACACTTTAGTTTTGCTTGAATATTTGATTCCGGTGCATCTCTAATAACAACTCCAAAATTCCGCCATCTAGCAATGAAAAATTAAGTGTAAGTGCTCGCTACCGCATGCGCCGATGTCTGTTTACCACTTTGATATTAGGTGTCAGATTTTTGTCGGTGATTCCCATATTTTTATATTTTAGATAACAGAATATTTTTTGATTTTAGCTTCTTTCCAACCGACTGATATATCAAAATTACAGAATTTACAAATTCTGTGTCAAAATCTTCATAAGCATGCAAAAAGCCGAATAATTATATTTTAACATTGTTATAGTATTTTTAATTTTTACAAGTATGTCTCGGTTTGTGGGTGTTTCTGATTCAGTTTGGGATGATTGTTATTCAGTTTCAATTTTAAATGTGTTAATAAACGGTTTTACGATTTTTATGTATCTAATTTTTTTATGATTATATCGTATTTTTATTATACCAGTACACCGATACATTCAGGTTGCAGCCACACTATCCTAAAAACGGCGTAACGGCGTAACGGCGTAACGACCTTGAATCGATTTCCAGTTATTCTATTGGCTGAAATTTTTGACAGATGAATTTGACAGATAAAATTTCTGACAGATGAATGTTTCAGCCAATAGAATTACTGGAAATCTATTCAAGGTCATTACGCCGTTACGCCGATACGCCGTTTTTAGGATAGTGTGGCTGCACCCTCAGAATCGAATATCGATATTTAATAAGATCGATCTTTGGTTACCGATTTTTTTCTGGATCGATCTTGTTATGTCCGATCTTGAATCGATTCAAAATATCGATTTATTTTATTTTTGCGACATCCCTAATATACACACAACGTATACACCAGTGCATACTGATGTAACTGCCATAGGTAACTGCCTTCAGGCTTCATCAGTACCAGGTGGATGACACTTCTTATGGGAGAACTGGCAATGGTTGAAAACTTGGCTACAAGCGATTTTCTAGGAATCTTCCTTACCGATAAATTATTGACAAGAGTGACAGATTAAACCTTGAAGCCCCGTTCTCAGAACTGCGACTGTCGCCAGCGACACGTCAAGAGGACCAATGAGATTTGTACAAAATTCAAACAGCTGTCAATTTTAAATTTAGTACAGCTCCCATTGGTCGTTTGAAGTGTCAATCAGTGTCGCTGTCGACACGACGCAGTTCTGAGAACGGGGCTTGAGGTTCTTTCAGTATTACCACAGAATATCTAGCTACGCAACAGAAAAATACTTGAAATCTTGAAATGAAAGAGCTAAAATTGCGCAAATAAAATACTAGATGGCGCGACTATATCAAAATCAGAATATAATTGGAAATTTTGAACTTTCGGTTTTACATCGACGGCACGTCGACGGCCTTGAAGCTCGCCGAAATATGCACAGTTGCCAGATTCAAAAAGACCTTTAATGGGGGATGCCCATTCTTTTTCTGGTTATAATAGTTTCTTTCTCTTCTTCTTTTCTTGTCGGACACACTTATGTTAATTATTCGTTTGGCTTTTAAAATAGTTTTAAGTATATTCAAAAAATACATTTTTAATATACACTACCTTATATTATTAACTAAGAAAATACCTTTAATTACCTTTAAAAATATACAGGGCGATTGATAGTAATATTTATTAATGCTGGAACGTTAGTAATGAAATATAAGTTTAATAATAATGGAAATAATTTATTAAAATGCAGTGGCACACAACAAATCTTTATAAAGAAACGCAAGTATACCAAATTTGGGCCCAATCGAAATCCAGGAAATGATATCATAATATTGTACTCCACTCGATATGCTTCAAGGTACCATAATATTGCAATGTCACCGAAGATCCGTAGTATATCAAGTTTAAGCCCAATCGATCGCCAGGAAATGATATCGTAATATGGTACTACATTATGGTACCTCTTGATATGTTTCACGGTACCATAATATTGCAATGTCATCAAACATAGGCAAGTATATATCAAATACGAGCCCAATCGAACGTCAGGAAGTGGTATCATAATGTAGTACTATAGAAGGTACCACTTTATATGCTCCATGGTACCATAATATTACAATGTCACCGAAGATACGTAGAATACCAACTTTAAGCCCAATCGAACGCCATATACGTAATATGGTACCACTTGATATGGTTCATGGTATCATAATATTGCAATGTCATCAAAAATACGAAATTATATGTCAAATATGAGTTCAATCGAACGTCAGGAAGTGGTATCATAATATGGTACGATAGAACCCCAGTAGCACATCAACATTGGTAAAATAATATATTTATATATTGGCCCAATAAAGAAAAGGCGAGATTTTTTTTAATGGTAAAATATAGCATTCATATATTTATCCTTTGTTAAAAATCGATATTGATCCAATTTGGATATTTAATATTTATCCTATATTTGCTATATTTATAGACATAATGTGTTTTTTCAATAATGGTCCAACATAATTTACATATATTTTTCCATTTTGTTTCGCAAATCTTGGACCAATATTTAGTCTGTACATTGAATCTATGTACATACCACATAATCAAGATTCGGAATAGGAAACTCCCTGGAAACTTTTTATTGTCACTTGATATCAAAATATCAAGATAGTTCGAAAAGTCAATGCATTTTATGCAAGTTATTGTATGTTTTATATATACAGTGGAACATTATTTTCGAATGAGAATGATATATATTATATAATATGTTTTAAAAATAAAAGAAATATAAAAAAAAATCTGGCACTTCTTTGTAACCAATATGTTGTATAGATTCGGGAAGTAAATATTAGGGAAAGATTCAATAAAACGTTACATCAATAAAAACAATATATTGCTATATAAAATAAAATAATGAAAAATAAGCTGTTATCCTGATAATAAATAAAAAAACGAAAAATATTTTTCTGTTTCAAAATAACTGTATATATTGGGCATTTCTGTTTTACGTCTTCCTTCCCTGTCTGCTGCTCCTGTCAAATACAAAGATATGGATTTGTTAATACCTGCATCCGTGGCGCCTGGAAAACGAACAGCTTCTATGAAACACAAAGCAAAATTTTGTTAATTGGAATTTATTACCAAAACAATTTAAAATTTATACTTATAATAGCCTTACATGACAACTTCTGAAATGATAATTTTCCCTTCTTTCCTGATCCAGAATAGAGCATTGCTACATCTCTGGCAAACAGTTTTTTCATTAATAAAAAAACAGATTTGTGGGTATTGTCCCCTCCACAAAGGTATAATCGTTGAGCCTAAAATAAACAATTTGATAAGCTTTACATTTTGTTTCTCATACGAGTATAATCTGCAAATAATTATTATTACCAAAAGTTCAATATTTTTTTCATCTTCTAAATGCTGCTCTATAGATTCTAGTAAAGCCTGGTTCTCAATTGGTAGTTGAAAAGGTTCTTCACTAGAACTTAATATTAATCTGTTTTTTTCATATCCTGTATTTCCCAATTCAACTTTTTTATTTCTTTTAAGATCAATCTCTCAGAAGCTAAAAATATACATCAAACGCCCAAGTTATCTTGGTTCAAGTAGGTATTTCTACAAAATATAAGTGATCTTCATCAATATATGTTACCTGTTAAAGCTACTGACGGCTCAAAGGGACTTGCGTCTAATTCCCTGTGACCATTGTTCAAAACCGATGGTGATTCAGCCATACAACGTACTTTATGTTTTATGATACTTAAATTTTCTTTAAATAAAGATTTCATTTTGATTGGAGTAAAATCTCTTTTTTGTAGTTCAGTGATAATGTATTAAATATGTTTAGGTTAGGACGTTTTAAATTATGTAAATAATTATTTACATCTAATATGGTCTAAATATTAAATAATCAAATGTAAAAACGTGAAATATCTAGGAAACCAATAGGTTCACCATACTTGGAACCGCGCGATTTTAAAATGCTCCAGAACTTTGCTAACTCGATTCTATATTTAGCCAATATTGGCCCAACGTTTCCATTTACCTATGTAAAAATATGAAAAATATTGACATTAATTAAACATCAGGTTTATTTCAACAGTTTTCACAATTCAAGTGAGAATTAATAGGATACGGCTATTATTTTAGGTTTTTATTTACTTCTAAATTGTCTGGTAGTTGAGTAAATGTTTAGGTTAGGATGCCTCTTACAGGAAATATCTACTAGTCTACATTTAAAAGTTGTTGAAATAAAGTACTTACCAGTTCACCTTTACTTAAAATGATCCAAATTACACTGCACACAAATAGATAAATCACAAATTATTTACTTGATATTAATTTTAAGGCATGTATCATGATTTTGAGATGCAAAGAACACAACAAATTATAAAATAAGGCGGGCGGGCGCGCGCGCGGCGTCATCAATGAATGCGTCATAGGGAAGAAGAGTGGGGATGCAACAGGAACCCGTTTTATGACGTTGTGGCTATCCAGACCAGATTTATTTATTGCTTTTCGTTTATTTGGCACTCACCACTGGCGTTACAGAATTTCTGCAGGGTATACTGATTAGTTAACACTCAATTGCAAGTCAAAAATATTACACAAATTATGAATTATTGGAATGACAATAGTAAATTGCAATTATATTAAAAAAAACAATGAATTATTAAACTATAAAAGAATAATGTCGTAAACTAACATGACATGAAAATTAAAATAATTATGCATTATTTAAATATTGGTACGTTATTGTGAAAATATAGAATTATAATAAAGGAAAAAGTTTTATTGCCAATCAACTACCAATATTGGCTAAAAATCGGCAATATTGGGCCAGCTTACAATTTTTACCATACATATCCTAAATATTGTGCCAATATCTTGTGCTATTGGGGAAGGTACCACTTTATATGCATCATAGTTCTATCATATTACAATGTCACCGAAGATACGTAGTCTACCAAGTTTAGCCCAATCGAACGCCATGTACGTAATATGGTGCTATATTATGGTACCACTTGATATAGTTCATGGTATCATAATATTGCAATATGTCATCAAAAATACGAAATTATATATCAAATCTGAGCTCGATCGAACGTTAAGAAGTGGTATCATAATATGGTACTATCTGGATGGTACCACTTTACATGCATCATAGCACCATCATATTACAATTACAATGTTACCGAATATACGTAGTATACCAAGTTTAAGCCCAATCGAACGCCATGTATGTAGTATGGTACTATATTATGGTACCATTTGATATGCTTCATGGTACCATAATATTACAATATCATCAAAAATACAGAAGTATATATCAAATATGGGCCCAATCGAACATCAGGGAGTGGTAACATAATATGGTACTATAGAAGGTACCACTTTATAGGCTCCATGGTACCACAAAATTACAATGTCACCGAAGATACGTAGTATACCAAGTTTAAGCCCTATATCGACCGCCATGTATCTAATATGGTACTATATTATGGTATGGTACCACTTGATATGCTTCATGGCTTCTTGGTACCATAATATTGCAATGTCATCAAAAATTAGCAAGTATATATCAAATACGAGCTCAATCAAATGTCAGGAATTGGTATCATAATGTAGTACTATAGAAGGTACCACTTTATATGCTCCATGGTACCATAATATTACAGTGTTACTAAAGATAAGTAGAATACCAAGTTTAAGCTCAATCGAAGGCCATGTATCGTAATATGGTACTATATTATAGTATACTATTTCCCATATATAATGACAGCGATCTTCATTTCATAGCCATCGCTAACGCTGTTTTTCCCCGATCATGCGGTATAAAGTATGAACACAATTAATTGAACGTCAGGAAGTGGTATCATAATAGTAGAACAATACTTATTACATTGTCGCCGAATTACAATCAAAATTCAGGATTCAATTACAATCAAACGTCAGGAACTGATTGTAATTCAGCTCGTAAGATTTAACCCCAACTAACATGGCAAGTTAAATACTTAAACCTGACTTACACGTTTGAAAAAAGAGCACTGATCTATTTTAATATGTTAAAATGATGTAGCAAATTTGAAGGTAGGCTTTATCAGGAAGTATTACAATATGAATTACACAATGGCAACACTGCACAAAATTCTTTTAAATTTCGTTTGTAGAAAACTATTTTCTTTTAAATTTATCGCCCTCTATTATGTAGTAGCGAAACTACCGCATCAAAATATCTGAATTGGAGACAGGCGCTAAAAGCCTGTCTCCTTTTGATACCTACTTTGAATAAGAAGACTAAGGAAGGAGCATAATGCTATCCATGTATTCATGCATGGTGGGCGGAAAAGCCACCATAAAAGCTCTCTAGGGTGGGGATCCTTGACAGTTCTGTTTGACGATTCATTTGACACATTTGAATTTGATTTGAAATTTTGTGGATTTGTCAGTCTTTATGAAGCTTATTTTATGTTATTTATTATTTATTCTACTACTGATAGTTGTATAAAGGTAGTAAATCTAGATGGAAATTGTGGCAGAACTTAAATTAACAGTGACACTATCGCGATTTATCGAAAAAGACTCTAAAATATTGGTTGTGTAGCGTGCGGTAGATCTCGGCAAAAATTGAGTGAAATAATGGAACAAATTTTCGCTAGTAAGTGACTATATAATATACATACGTGTAGTAAACCGATCATTTATGAAATTCACTTAAATTAACTAAATTATATATTTTTCTTGCATTTTAGCTTTTATTTATTACTTGTCAAAGATTAGATGTCAAAGAATCTAGATACGTTAATTTGACTTACCTGCTTCAGTAGCGTATCGGATGTTTGTGTTAATAAATACTTATTATAACTTATCTATTTTGATTAGAATTATATATTTTTATAACAATTTTAATAACTACCAACATTTATTCACAACGTAAAATAAAACAACAAATTATTGAGTCTACCCCACGTCTACCCTACATCATAGTTTTACATTTTTTAAATAAAATTAGGACGACACTGATAAACCGGATTTTAAGTCGGCCATATTTGAGGCCCATCGCGGTGTAGGTACCTAAGATTTTTGATATGCTCCTTCCTTAGTCTTCTTATTCAAAGGATACCTGGGGTGCAACTTTGTTCATGTTTCAAAGCGATAGCAAAGTAATTTGTAGCTTGTGGCACTATGTTCAGTAGCAACATCGATTTGTAGCGATATTCTGATTTCTCGCTTTGTGGCGAGGCGACAGTCTAGACACGTGTGCAAGAGTGTGATAGTGATACCATATTTCGCAGCATTTGAGCGACACTAGTTTTGCAATGAACATAGTATCGATCTGGTTTCGACATCGCTTCTTAACGATCGGTTGCTAACTTGAACAAAGTCGCACCCCTGCAATTTTATACATGTAACGCTTTGAATAAGAAGACTAAGGAAGGAGCATATCAAAAATCTTAGGTACACCGCGATGGACCTCAAATATGGCCGACTTAAAATCCGGTTTATCAGTGTCGTCCTAATTTTATTTATTAGTCTTCTTATTCAAAGATGTAACGAGGCTTCTGTTGCGTAGCTAGATATTCTGTGGTATTACCCTTGTTTATTAATCAAGGGTATTACAGTTCATCTCTTTTTCTTTCTAAAGTGTGCGTTGAAAGGAGACAAAAACAATTATTGGTGACCCATAATTTGTTATTCGAACACCACTTTTCTTCTTGTCGGGTCGCTAACCGCTGACGTTGACTAGTCGCCATTTTATTTCTTTTGTTTACACGCTGCATTTTGCTTTGCAAATTTAATACATAAATTATTTAGGCAAATATAGGTTTTTGGCAGAGAAATAGAAGGGATAGAGAATGAGCGTCAACATGCGCAGAAGGTCTAATCAAGTTGGGCGCCATATTCCAGGTCTTCGTGTCATTTTGTATATAGGTGGTAATCAGTAAGTAATCAAATATCAATTTGCTGTTTTCAACCATACGGGGGGCAATTTAAATTTAGTGAAATTCTATCATTATGGTTAGTTAACATTAATATGATTTATTTAATTATCAGTTTCAAAACTGCGTACAATATTGGTATATAATACACTAAATATACGAATATTCTGACAAAAGACGCTACGGACAGATGACCTTTTCGTCGTTAAACACTCGAAATGATATTAAATAAGTATTTACAATATTTCATGTTTACTTGTACTGAATTACGCGTTTCAATTTAGAATTTTTGCAAATTTGGTAAAAATTGTTCTAAACGACTTTTGTTCAAGTTGTATATTCATAAAAAACATTTGGTTCATAATTATTTTTGATGATTACCTACCTTGTATTTTTAATATAAACCTAGAAAAAATATGTTTTTGTTTTATTTCTTTTATTCGTCCCTTCAAATTGTGTTTCAAAAACTGTTACATAACATGTCCTCTAACAAATATTTTCATAATACATAAACATCATCGATTTTATTAAGGGTATTATTATTAGTATTTATCCTGGTTTTTGTCGACAATAAAAACTCAATCTTGTAATAGAACATCAATTTTATATTTCGTAAAATTATTTTGATACAAATTAAATTCAAGTCATTAATATATTGATAAACAACCCAAATTATTCCTAAATATTTTATTATAAAAAAAACTGTTACCGGTAAGTTTGTAAAACACATTATGGTTTGTCGTAATACTAGAAAAAATCATTTATTTTTTGCACAAAAGAAGCTTGTCGATCCTTATTTGTCCATAACAAAATTCTGTATGTACAACATACATATACCTAATTTATTTTTAAGAAAATTAGATTATATGATCTCAGAATTTTAAGAAATTTTTTTTAAGATAAAATAGTTTCTTCTCAACTGTAATATTGTCAACTATGGCCTGTATTTTATCT